AAACTACTGGGTGGTTTTTATGTGCTGTCTCAAGTAAATTGCATTAAGCAAACATGATATCTCACCGGTGCTGCCGAATAAAATCCAATTTGAAAAGGAAGCAGCCACAATAGATGTTCCATTTTGTTGTAGAACCCTGGAGGAATTTCACCTCCTCTGCACCATTAGATCTGACTGAATGGGAAGTATTCAGGAGTGGGAGGGTCACTTCTTTGCCTTGTGAAGTAAAACTAGATTTGGCACGGTGTTAGTGTAGGTTTGTTCTGCAGAAATGCTGCGGTCCACCATCGTGTTCTTAAGCTAGATGTTTGGTAAAACGAGAAAGATCCAACAATAGGATATATTCTTATAATGAAATCTCAGTTCATACTGAATAAGGGGAACAAAATGCAACAAAATGTGAGTCGAATTTTTAGACTTCTACATAAATGACCATTTAATCCAAAAGTAGCAGCGATGTAACAGTTCATTAAATAGTGTTCATTTGAATTACCGTGACATTTCTGAGGATGAAATTGTTTCAAGACAACGGCAGTCCACTGTGCTCCTAATCTGTTTGGATTAGCTGTTATCTTGTCAACACGGTCAAGACTAACCGCTGCAGGTAAATTGTTAATTGTTCATAAGCTTTCCACAGAATCCTATAAATCTATCGCTTTAAGGCTCCAAAATCTCCTAAGTCTATTGTCAGTAACACACACACACACACACACACACACACACACACACACACACACACACACACACACACACACACACACACACACACACACACACACACACACTCATTTCAGGTGTGTTTATCTCTCCTACTTGTATCGAACCAGTATACCCCCATCTGCACAGACTCAGGACTGGAAAGGGAATCCTACGCTTTCTTTACTGCTTTGTTTAGTTTTGTTTTATTTAAATATGTATTTTCTAGCTAAACAATTAAACAGACTTACATTTTGCAATACTTAAACAAATAGCATTAGGCCTCATACTGGGTATTTTTATGGTTTCTGTCTTTATTTTCTGTCACACTTCATATTGTAAACGACTTATTCTCTAAAAAGGAATGCTGTGTCATTAAAGATCCACATTTGCAAGATAAATCTGACAATCATCTGCACGCTTTGTTTATCAATGAAATAGTCTGCCATGACAAATAGAAAAAATGCTGCATGTTATTATATTAGTAACACATTGTCTCATGTTTTGGTTTCTCAGTGATGCCCAGTAATGTTGCTCAAGTTTAATGTGGAACCAAGGGCGTCAGTTTGTTTTCAGAATTGCTGGGGACAATAACCATACACTTGAGTGGGGTTTAAAAATTGTTGGGGACAATAAAGTAGGCTAGCACAGGGGTCGGCAACCCGCGGCTCTGGAGCCGCATGCGGCTCTTCCATCCATCTGATGCGGCTCTCTGTGTTTGTAAAATAATGAATGGATATTTAAATAAAATGCTTTATATTTTACTGCATTAATTTTACACCTGTATGCTAATTCTAAATGTAAAGATTGTCTGCGTAAACCTGAACAGTTCCAACCCGGTCTTACTGTGAGACTGGGTTGATAGGTCACGCTTGTGCGTAATCATATGGGCACTTTATGAGCTGAAGAGGATGTGAGATTCTGGGCTTCTCCTCAGACGGCTCCTGGATGTGTCGCCACATTGGAGACAGGAACAAGTGCTATTCAGCCAAAGTTTCATAATCAGGGAACATTTTCTAAGTGACAAGTCTCTCTGAGAGACAGGGTTTGGAAAACACTCGCTTCAGTGGGAGGTATCTTCCACATGCGCTCTGGTTCTCTGGGGTTAATCAAGTTTAATTGTTTCTCTTTGCAACAATCTTCACAGGAAGGCAAAACAGTTAAACGGCAGGTTACAGATATTTCCATTTGACTGTTTATTTTGACAGATGAACTCAAGGATGTTGCTTGGTTTGAAAGAATTACCCCGACGCACACTGATGCGCATGGATGAGCTGACATTTTAATCGTTAACGCACATCGCGGAGGTAAAATATTCCCATCAGAACATCAGAGCTTTATACTGGACACTGTGTTCAGCGCGGCTCGGAGCGCCCACGGTGGACAGTGAGCTGAAGATCTGGGGTTCGCAGCGCAGTGCAGAACCACGCGCATGCGATGATTTCCTCCCACTGAAGCGGTCTAGAAACCCGGTCTCTCTGAGGGATGCGTCACTTGGAAAAATGTTCTTTTTATGAAATTATGAAACTTTGGCTGAACAGCGCTTGTTCCCGTCTCTAATATGGAGACGCATGACGCGTAGAGACATTTGATCACGCACAAAGTTTATGTGGAGCAGAGGTGGTCGGGCCACGGCAGGTGAAATGTTCCTAGCCTACATGAAGTGAAACTGTTTAATTGTAACATTAATATGTTACTGGACACGCTGGTCTGGTTGGTTAGACCAGTGTTTGAAGTGGAAAACACACACACACACACACACACACACACACACACACACACACACACACACACACACACACCAATTAAAATAATGCTGATAGCGTGGACTAGAAGCCAGGTGATGGTTTACGTATTTAAATGATGATCAGGCTGCTGTAAAATGTAATCTCCATCCACATCCAGACACAATTGTCCTTTATTCTTTCTCTATTTGCTCTGCTCTTGTCTGGGCTGATCAGCTGATGGTGCGCGCGGCGCGCCTAACTAGTGGCTGATGCACATTTTACGCATTTGGAGAGGTGGACTGGATGCTTTGCGTTTACTGGAAGATGGTCCACTTAACGCACGGGTGTAGACTACATTTTAATGACAAATGAATGAAAATGAAATTGTGAGTTTTTACTTCATATTTTATAAATAAAAATGACGGGGGAAAACATTTATGACATCTTTTTAAACTAAATTTTCTAGCGCGACCTGCCTGCTTCACTTAAGTCACTGCTTATTAAGGTCCGTCCAAAATTACCGTGGGAAACGGGTAATAATGGCTCTTTGATGGGAACAGGTTGCCGACCCCTGGTATAAGATCTGAGCTGGTAAAACAAAAATCCTCATCAGCAGGCGTTTTTGAAAGTGGGGGGACACAGCTGCCAATCACAAATTTTGCCGGGGACATGTCTCCGGCGTCCCCGGTTAAAATGACGCCTATGTGTGGAACACCACACATACTTATCTTCTGTGGAGTTTCTCACAACCTGGAACCATCTGAGGCTTCTCTTTCAGAATCTGTAGTGATACAGGAAGGAAGCTTTTCTTCTACTATTGCAGATTTGAAACGAAATGAGACGTTTTTATTGTTATTATTAAAGAGATTTTTACATATGCACGAACAATAACATGATATTTTTTTTACTTTAACATCACCCCCCAAAAAACATGTGTGCCACTCTAAATTTGCATAATTTTGAATAAAAAATGTACATCATTAGAAGGCAGGCCCTCAGATTTTTTTTTTTTTTACCTTAGCATCCCCCAAATATCATTATTTGGCCTCTTTAGCATGTTGGTGCAAGATAGTGGCCCTTTTAAAATCTCTTTTGGAATTTTCTTCTTCTTCTTCTTCTTCTTCTTCTTCTTATTATTATTATTATTATTATTATTATTATTATACTGAATATTTTCTCCCCATATAACTGGGTTTGATAATTATTTACAGACGTTTAACCCAGCTGGCACTTCGTTGCTCTTGAAATGCTGTCTAGCTTTGTCATTTTGGATTTGTGAGGGCTCTATAAATGAGAATCTCTTTGAAATATTACAGAGTTGTTTTTTCCTCTCTCTAATTGCAGATCAAGACTGTGCTCATGTTAAAATTTTGCCTGTCCAAGCAAATTTGCAGATGTGACAGTGTAAGAGAGAAGTGTGTTTTAATATTGATTCCTTCCTTGTGTTTTTTAAAGGAGACGAGTGAAACTGTAGAAACCCACTGAGACGCAACACTGCTACTAATTAAGAGCTCAGTTATTGATGGAGCTAGGTTAACAACTCTTTTTGGATATTCTGGACTAATGTTTAAGAACGTGAAACTGATTGCATTAAGGAGGCATAATCTCATTTCATCCATGGAGAATGCACCAGGTCTTAGCCCTGTTTAGGTCATTTAGAAAGCAAAACACCTCTAGGTTCATTGTCATTGTCGTTTAATCGGTGTCACTATTTTGAATAAAAATAATAATTTGACTGAATAAAGGCAATTCATGAGGAAGGAGAATCTTGTGGTAAATAATAATTATTTTTATCACTTTTTATAACCGTTACATATATGTACACTAAGAAAATGTCACAATCCTTTCTTCTGTGAGTTTTCTTATTCATTTCAGACATTGAGAGTCAATAAAATATATGGTGATACTGAAACAACAATGTGAATAGGGGGATAAAAGTCTAAGGTAATGTTTAAGTTTTTATTTAAAAAATACTATTTTTATGTTTTCAATGAGGGACTAAGTTCTGATCATACTCAAGTAAAAATGATTTTATGTTTATTTATCTGTATTTATTGAAATTAATATGATTTAATACTATTAATTAATCAATATATTGGGTATGGGAATGGGTATGCTGCTAGTAAGTGGTAGGAATGAATATTTATGTACAGTATGAGATTTAAGCACACTATATTTGGGTTTGTATTAAATTCTAAGGAAATGAAAAGAATACTTTATATTTTGTTCATTTTATATGTTTTGTTATGTTGTTTGATAAATACAAAGTAAAAATAAATAAAAGGATATCTTTAAAGTTGAGGAAACGTGTAACTATCACCTCTTGTATCAATATCAACAAAGTGCGTTTTCCCAAAATGAATTTAAATTTTGCTCATTTTTGCAGTTTTTCTCAAAACAAAAACAAGCGTGTATCAAGGCTGTTTTCCTTGCATTTTATGTCAGTTACTTATTTGCACATGGCTTCTTTGTTTTTGATCAGCATTTTCAAATATGTGACCAACATTTCTGTTCTTCGCAAAACCGTTGACTTTTTCTGAAACTGACCTCTTCACCTCGTTCCTCTGTCTACCTCAGTGTGTCCGGAGAAGTGCAAGTTGGCCTGTACAGACAAAGGCCAGTGTTGCCACAGCCAGTGCTTGGGAAGTTGCACCGAACCCTTCAACGACAAGGCCTGCTCGGCTTGCCTCCATTACAACCACGACGGTCGCTGCGTGCCTGATTGTCCCCCTGGCACCTACAAGTTTGAAGGCTGGCGCTGCATCACCATAGAGATGTGTGCACAGGTGCACCTGCCCAGTGACACTCACTTTGTCATCCACGGCGGAGAGTGCATGCTGGACTGTCCCTCTGGTTTCATGCGCAATGATACTAATCGGTAAGGACGTACACTTCAGGCCTCATTTGGGGCCTGGTGGGTTGGGAACGAGGCGACACGCTTAATGTACAAGCTTTACTGACATAAATGATTCATGTAAAAATTTTCCTAAGGTTTATTTATTTGTCTTCGGTGTTGTGTATTTATTTTTTTGTGATTGAAACCCAAGGCTTATAACAAGCAGAACCAGTCTTTGTGCTATTATTTCCCTGTGAAATTTCTCTGAACAGATGTGTGTTTACACTTCACTGTTCAGATACATTAAAGCAGCTTGTAGCTACTGTGCACTTATGCATAATGAATTCTTTTGCATAAGCTATCCTTGAACTGAACTTCTCTCGACCTCGCTCTTCACACGTTCCTTTTCTTAAAGTAGGTTTCAACACAGAAAGTGCAAGAGGTTAAGAGCGTGCCGGACCATTAATGATTTATGCTCAGATTTTCCAGCCTATTCAGTGAAATGTGTCCAATTCTCACCACTGCTAGAATTTTCAGACGAGTGCTCAGCCACTTGAAGAAGAGGCTTGGTAAAGCATCTCCTCCTGTGCTATTAAGTGTTATGTTTAATTTGAAACAAGAAAGCACTCCTGTGCAGTTTCTGATTTGTTCGTCTTGTCAAAATCTAAAGTTTGGCTCTGTTGCCGAGTGCATTTCTGGCAAAAGTATGCGTCGATGCAGTGAGTCACTCTCTCACGAAGTGGTTCAGCTAAGGCTCCATAAAAGATTAAACTGTCCGTGTGAGAGTTGACCTTTTACCATGCTCTGAATTTACTTTCCTGAATTCTCTGGAAAGTTTGGGAGAAGATGTATTATTTCAGGGCGAGGTTGAAAGTGCCATAAGAGTTTTTCTAATATATTTTCATTCTCTCTGGATCTGCTGTATGCAGAATGCTGTGCACTGCTTGCAACGGTCTGTGTGACAAGGTCTGTCCATCAACTGTCATCGACAACGTGGACGCTGCTCAGTCCCTGAAGGACTGCACTTTCATTGAAGGCAATTTGGACATCAACATTCGCAGAGGAAGTAAGTAAGCTCCTGGACCAAGTACCGTAATTTCCGGACTATAGAGCGCACCTCAATATAAGCCGCACCGGGCTAAAAGTCGCAGATATCTACTGAATTGAAAACGTAGTTTAACTGAACGTAACTGAACTGATCAGTATCAAACAAAACAGAAAAGTTATTGATTAGTTTATTCATCGTCCTCCTGCGCACTGAAACCACTGAAGTCATCTTCTTCAGTGTCGGAGTTGAACAGCCTCAGAAGAGCTTCGTCACATACCTTTTCTGTGGCGATGTCAGTGTCGCTCTCCGTGTTGCTGTCGTCATCCCGGGGTGAAGCTTGGAAAACAAGCAGCGCCGTTTTACTGTGAAAAAAATCCTCCTGGGCGCTTTCCGTAGCACTCCTTTAACCATTCCTTCATTAGACTTTCCAGCATCCTTTCTGGTTGACTAAAGCTGCACCTCATTATAAGCGGCATGGTTCAAAGCGTGGGAAAAAGTAGTGGCTTATAGTCTGGAAAATACAGTGAGCAGTTTCTGACAATAGGGTCTACTGCAGATTATCTAAACGGGTAGTCTGCTGCCCTCAAACTGAACAGAAGTCAGCAGAATATTTATATTTGCTAAAGATCTACACTGCAATGTTTGGTAAGGCTTTAACACGATGTGGTACTCTTGCCCACCCTGAAAGCCGTTAGGCCTAGTGGAGTAAGCTGGTGGGATGCACAGTGCAAGTTACGAATCCAATATCATAACTACCTTCCATACTCTAACTCATGATTCCATAATGGTGCTAGTTGACAGAGTGGCTCATAAGCTTATTTTCACTTGTAATGTAGCCCGTCCAGTTAAGTGCCTCATTTCATACTTGCATTAGGGGCTACTCTGGGTAATACAGTAGCAGTAGATACCTGGGAAGAATTTCATCACTTTCTTACTTAGACTGTTTTCGTTCTTCTTTGTCATTGTTCAAGTTTTGTTGATTTTCCCTTCCACAGATAACATCGCCTCTGAGCTGGAGAACTTTATGGGGCTTATTGAGACAGTGACAGGCTACGTGAAGATTCGACACTCCCACGCTCTTGGCTCGCTGTCCTTCCTCAAGAGCCTCCGTTACATAAATGGGCAGGAGCTTATTGAGAAGTATGGCTCGTCTGTGTGCATGAATGCATGCATGTGTGTGAAAGTGCATTCAAGTAATAGTTCAGATCTTTTAAAATATGCTTCTGTGAAAATTTTACAAATGTTTTGCATGTTGTAGATAGCTCTCTGAAACACTTAACAGAATAGTCTGACCGTATTGACGAGTTCACATGACCTTTATTTTGTTTTGCCAAAAGTTTTCCATTGCATGTTCAGTTACATTTAATTATATGGTTACTGAAGTTCAAATATCTGTAGCAACTTTAGAAGATACCTGCATGAAAATTATAACAGCTCTGCGAGAATAACAGTATAATGCAATATTGACAGTAATGTGTAGAGCTCCGGACGTCACGTGACTCTCAGAGAGTAGATGCCATGTTGGCAGGCAACAAAGGTAAACAAAATGAATGGGATCGGCTTGGATTTTACTCCCGTCTGAGTTTACTTCACACTTTAAAACCGAAGAAATCATTTTATATAGTCAGAAACATCTCCGACCCTTACCATGCCCCTGGGATACTTTTTAAAAACGCCAGAAGCTGTCGGAGCAGACCTGTCACCGGATTTGAGATGCCCTGACATTTATAATTTATAAAACTAATTAAACAAAAACACAAATAACATAGATTTACAAGTCAGATTTTTTTCCCGATAAATAAAATAAATGTCAGGCTGGAGCGTCTCAGGATCTGTCTGAGATCTGTCTCGCTGAGACAGATAATAGCAATCCAAAGTGCTTTTTATGTGTTATCTGACAATTGATCAACCATTGCTTAAAAATGAAATACAGCTTAGCCGGTTTATTGCTGTGATCATAAGACACGTAAACGGCAGCACGCAGAAATCACGTGATGTTTACTTGTTGCTATGAGCAATGATGGGAATAGCGCTGTTTAAAATAACGGTGTCAATAACTGTGTTCTTTTTGAGGTAATGGAATAATCTAATTAATTACTTTTCCCTTTGTTGCAACTCTGTTACCGTTACTGGGGATGGAAGGTTGTGCGCTACTACGTGCTTGTCGAACGTTGAGCAACAGTGTGAGGCTTTCTGACCGCCACACTTCAGCTGCAGCCAGGGAGAGAGAGGTGTTGGTAACACACTTACAAACACGATGGTGATTGGCCGGGTGGGCGGAGACCCTCAGAGTTCCCAATGTCTCAGTCACTGCATGCTGTAGACACAACAGAGCAGTGATGGGAATAACGCCGTTTAAAATAACCGCATTATTAAAAAAATATATTTTTTTCAGTAATGAGCAATCTAATTAATGTCTTCTTTTATCAAAACGTCGTTTCTGTTGCTGATAAGAAAAAGCGTGCGTTAAGCAGCACGGTGTGTTGAAGCTGTCGTCAGCTGATCAGGAGCTAAAGAGGCAGATGTTTTCATCCAAGCGCATCACGGCCCGTGAAGAACGAGGAAGACATGATGAATAGTCTACGGCTGCAGGTGTGGATCTGCAGCTGTGCCCCTTCTTAGCATGACAGCGGGACTACCCAAAGGTCCGCTAACCTGTTTACCGCTCAGGCGTCATGATCTTCTACCTTCCTAGATCATCCAGCTGTAACCTATTTCTGATCATATCTTTAGTCCCGCTGTAACACTGATGCATCAGTTTCAGACGTCATGGAGCCCAGGTGTTATTAGAAATACCTGTGTGTGTTTATTTATTTATTTATTTATTTATTTATTTATTTGTACCTTTACTAGATTACCAGCAACAGAAATGCTACTAAAAACACGCAATTATGTGAAGCTGGAAAAATTTTAATACTGTGCAAAATTACATTTATTTCTGTACTTTAACTAGACTGAGAGACCATTTAAAGGCTCAGGAACCTTTACAGGTGTTTCTATTTGCAATTGTAAATTTTGACTGATTGGGGTCTTGTTAAATATCACACAGTGACCTTTTAATAGTCTAGATTAGTGTAATGTTCCTGTTAGTAGTTCCTCCTGTTAAGTGCTCATTTATTGAAATTATTCAGGTTTATAAAAACATTTGGACATACATTTTATTATGTTCCAGTCATTAGTCATTTAAATTTTACTATTGTAGTAATTTATAGTAAATTAAGTAAGTTTAATTAAGAGGGGGACACATTTTTCTTGCATTCTTTAATGAAAAAGTAACTAAGTAGTTATTTTTCTTGGTAATTAGTTACTTTTATAATCTCGTAACTCGGTAAGTAACTGAGTTACTTTTTGACAAAGTATTCAGTAACTATAACTAATTACTTTTTTAAAGTAACACACGCAACACTGGCTATGAGTAATAAGACAGAAAAAGCCACACCAAAATACGTTTAGGAAGCCCACTAAGAATCGTAATAAAAGCATTTAAAATAAATACCATACACAGTTGAAGAAACGGTGTAAGTACCTGATATGAAGTGGTCGCTGCATAAGCAAAAACCTTTACTCTCGGCATCCCACAGTTTCAATTTAGTCCGGTCACTAGCGCGTTTTATTGCAATGATCCAACATTTGCGGTATTACAGATTTTGGGGAATCCTGTAGAAGGCTCTTCCCTTATCTCGTCCGCGTCTGTTCTGGCATCCTGGGGCACAACAGGAATCTACCATATTTCCCGTTTGATTGAGGTTTCTGACAATAACAAATAGCCTAGCTGCGGGCTACTGCCTTCCAAGATGGCACCATTTCGATTTGAACTGTTGCATGCCGGGAGAAGTGACGCCAACTCCCGGAGCTCTATAGGTTCATAATTTAATATTTTCCTAAACGTAAAAAGCAAGTCACCCCAAATCAACTTTTTTTGCTGATGAACTATATAAATGAGTTTCTAATTGTGCTGAAGACACGTGTAGACAATAATTTGGCACTTTAACATATCTTAGTCAAAATTAAAATTTTCTTCCTAAAGCTTCAGTGTGCAGTCGTCAGGTACACTGTTAGCTGGTACATTGTGATATCACAATGTCGTTGCGAGCCTGTGTGTGTGTGTTTGTTAGTGGCATTTGTTGCATTTTTCTAACAGGAAGTGGGAGTGAAGTAAGACTATGGTAGGGGTGACTTGCTCTTTAATTGTTTGACTCAAGAGCAGCAATCGACTTTGCCCGCTCCAATTAGTCGATATTTCATCAATTTGGTCAAACATCTGCACATAGCTGCTTAAGGTGTCCTGTTTATTTCCATTTGTTTCCCATCCATCCATCCATCCATCCATTTTCTGAACCCGCTTGTCCATGTAGGGTCGCGGGGGGGCTGGTTCCTATCTCCAGCGGTCAACGGGCAATCAGGCGGGGTACACCCTGTACAGAGAGCCAGTCCATCGCCGGGCGACACAGAGACACACAGGACAAACAATTATGCACACACACACACTCACACTCACACCTAAGGGCAATTTAGACAGACCAATTAACCTAACAGTCATGTTTTTGGACTGTGGGAGGAAGCCTGAGTACCCGGAGAGAACCCACGCATGCACAGGGAGAACATGCAAACTCCATGCAGAAAGATCCCAGGCCGGGAAGCGTTTTCCACCATATTTTATTTTTTAAACCCAAAGCCTGTGCAATGTTTAAATCTAAAATGCACAGTTTTTGCAAGTAATATGCCATGCATGTGCAAAGACATCATGTGGGGGCTGACATAAAGTAGATTCATAGAACTCGGATGTAACTGTTGCACATTTAGATTTAACCAATATGATTAGGGCAACTAAATCTCATCATTTTTGACTGGACCTAACTGTTTAAATTAAAATCAGTTGACACATTTTTTGTTGTTGTTTTTAATATAGATTTGATTGGCATTTAGATTTTATTAACAATGATGAATTGTGTATCGTAATCATTGGGATCTAGATTTTATTTTTAAGTGGCAGTGTCTAGTTTCCTGCCACTAGGGGGCAGTACATACATACATTTCAGAGTAGTTTTACACCATATTGCCGTGACTGTCGCTAGTTTAAAAATCATTAGGTAAGGGCAGAAAGCATGCAACCTTGGTGTGACTTTGATAATCTTCAGTTAATTTTGTCTAGAGAATGCAATGCCACTTCTGGCGCTGTAGTTTATGGACCTGCTCAGGGTCCTGCGCCTGCCGATGACATCATACTACGGCAATAACGCTCGGCCAAAATATATTGCATCTCTTTATCGATCCTGTTCTGTCACTTGGATTTTGGAAGGAGTTTAGCAGTTTTATTATTAAACTCATGTTTCTTACTACCTAAATGTTTTAAATGTGGTAAACTTCAGTAAGTCGTACATCCAGCCAATCATTTAGTGTGATGTCATCGACAGGCACAAGACCAAGAGCCGGTCAGAAGCTGGCTAAAAATGCTAGTCCAGCGCCCTATGTAACTTAGGCCTGATTTTTATGGTTACATGGTACGAAAACGCCAATATTTTTTGACCACTTGACATTATTCATTTTCAACAATGTTGCGATGGAAATCTCCTGAAATTAACGGTTAAAACTACACATTGTTTCTTTAATAGTCGCTATTTTCAAATAAACAACAGAAAGAGTTGCCGTAGTTTATTCTAACTATCAGCAAAACAGTCAAGGTTTTCTATATCTATTCCACTGTTTTTGAACAGATACTCATTTCAGGTACTTGCAGAGTGTATTTAGATACTGAATCGTCTGAAACAGGATAAATAAATGGTTCCAAAGCTGATTGAAAGTCTCAGTTGCAGTCCAAGAAACGAGAGCTTTTTTGGGTTAAAGAGGTCATGGGAACGCTTTTCAATCTTCCTGTTATCATTTTTCCCAGTGTTAGGTTTCACTCAGAGGAATGTGCTCGAGGATGACAGGCATTCCCTTCCTTCTGAAGGTGCTCTGATTGGCCCGCCGGTGCTCAGAGTGTTAACATGACTGTTTCTGTTTCATGTCTTGTTTCGAACTCATTGTCAAACACAACGCTGAACCCACACAACATAAAAATGGCCTACTGTTATTTTTTGGTCTTTCAATCAACATGTTTCTGCTCAATAAATAAATAAGTTGTTGATTAGATCTGAGTACCATGTTTGTGACCATCTGATGGTCTCTTTCTCTTCTTGTCAGTATGTACTCGTTCTCCGCCTACAACAACCACAATCTGCAGTTGTTGTGGGACTGGAGCGAACACAACCTGACTATTCGGGCTGGACGCCTCTTCTTTCGTGGAAACCCAAAGCTCTGCATGTCTGAGATACACACCATGTGGGAAAAGACGGGCATAGGTGTGAAGCCAGAGGAAGGTGATTTCCGCAACAATGGAGAAAGAGCCAGTTGTGAGTATTTTTAATGGCGTCATTTGAAAGAGCTGTATTTTAGGGGCTTTTCTCATTTCATGGTGTCGCTCTACCTTTTAAGTGTTCTGTTTTGTATAGTTTCCTTCTTTTTAAGCATTAAGTGTTTGCTGTTGCAGTTTCAGCATCCCTTCAGTGAGAATGTATTACCTCGGATATTAGGTCAACCAGTAACAGTATATTAGGAAAGCATTTCTTATATTGGTCAGTACAAATAGTAAAAGTTGCATGTTTCAAGACCTCCCCCTCAGAAGGCCTCTGGGTAGGAGGCTCTGATTAAGAAAAATGGTGGCGTGTGAGGCTGCAGCTAGTTCTTTGTTTGAGGTCGGCCTGGTTAAACATTAGGCAGACTTCATGTTAGTATTGTGCATGCTTACGTATCATTTGACACACCTGGGCTACAAAAGGAATGTTCCAGGCCGATCAGATGAGGCGATTTCACTTCTCAATATAGAATCACTTTCTTTGGTGTGAACTTTTGTCTTTGTGACCATAAAGACCTTTTCCACTTTAAAATGTACCTTAAACTAAAGGAGACGTCCAAAGGGTTGGCTCTGTAATTGCAGGTGAAAGTCATATCTTGAAGTTCAAGTCAAACATCACAACAAGCGACACAATCAAGCTGACTTGGGAGCGCTACCAGGTCCCCGAGCATGGAGACCTTAACAGCTTCATTGTTTACTACAAGGAGTCGTAAGTTCTTTACAGTGTTCTCAGCCACTGAACAAGCAGCATGTAAAACACACGTTTTTGCAACTAAAATGCACTTTTAATGTATATTTTAGCTTTTAGTTGTGAACATACTGTGAACAGTCTTGAATTATCTTCCATAGCTTTCTCTTCCAAGCAACCAGACCTTCTCATGCTCTTTGAACGTGATCTTAATCATTAGTTCTCCAGGTTCACTAAGGCTCTGTAAGTTTTTTAGTGGACTTTTGCTGCTTTTTTTGCTCAGATTCAGTCCAATACATGTTAAGGAGAACATACTTTTTGTTTGGACCAAGTTAGAGGCGGACTGGCATTCTGTGAGTTCTGGAGAATCCCAGAACAGCCGGTGTGATCCCGAGGTGGGTGTGCTCCGGGCTGTTGTCAGCAATCCCCCCACCTCGAACATCCCGACAGAGGGTTGAGCGGACTGCAGCAACGTTCCGCCTCTTACCTGCTCGTAGAAGTTATTACAGAAAACTCTTGCAGCAGTGTAACACCCCACCCCTAATCCTAACCCTAACCCAATCTTTCAAAGACAGATTCAAACGTATTAAAAGCATCTTCCCAACATTTAATTCGATTCTTGTTTGGGATCTTTGGTAGACTGCTTGAAGGATGTCTAAAGAAAGACATATTTGTTGTTTGCTTTGGAATACAAAAAGGAAAACGTTTTGGTAATTCTTGTTGCATTTGCTGAACGTGTCATTTTTATGTAAAATCCTTTGTGTCGTTGATTTTCCAGACCTTTCCAGAACATCACAGAGTTTGATGGCCAAGATGGCTGCGGCTCAAACAGTTGGCACATGGTAGACGTAGATCTTCCTCAGGATGAAAACATCAACCCAACATTTACTCTTCAACAACTGAAGCCCTGGACCCAGTATGCTATATTTGTGAAGGCCACCACCCTGCAGGTCAAAGACAAACACATAGCTGGAGCTAAGACCGATATTATCTATCTGCGCACTCGCCCATCATGTACGTATTTTTATTTTGCTGTATTTATTTATTTTTTAAATAATCAGCCGTAACAGTTTTACCAGCTATTATGTGCCATGGTTTGGTCTGTTATAGTGCCGTCCGTGCCCAAAGATGCCCGTGCATATACCAACTCTTCAGCCAAGCTGGTTGTGAAGTGGTCGCCACCTGCTTCTCCCAACGGGAATCTGAGTTACTACCTGGTGCGCTGGCAGCAGCAGCCAGAGGACAGGGAGCTCTTCCAATACAACTATTGCTCAAAAGGTCTGCAAAACACAAAAAATCAAACAAAATAAATGCATTTGTTGTTTGAATTTTCTAACTGGTGGCCCTGCAGGTGGGCTTAGTTGTGTATAAATATTTAGATGGGGGGACAGGAAACATGTAGTTCTGCCTATTTTCCACAGAATAAACAAACAGAATATGGTAATTATTAATCTGCATTTGTGTAGCCTTTGGCTAGATTTAGGTTTTGGTATTTTGTATTGTTTTTTTTTTTGTTTGTTTGTTTGTTTTTTTGTCTTGGTGCTGCAACCTAACCCGCTCCAGATTGTTGCCTCACATTTATACACAGATATGGTATTGTACATGCATAAACCAATACATTGATCCTTTAAAGCTTAAATATAACACATGGAACACTCTCTAAACATGGAAAACAGCCTTTCATTACAGTATCTTTTGTTCTGTTTCTGTTTTTTTTGTGTTTATAATCTAGACCTGAAGGTTCCGATCCGGATCCCAGCATCAGGGCTCACAGATGTGGAAGACAAAATGAAGCCCGCCAAGTCGGACCTAGCAGGGGAGAAGAAGGGACCTTGCTGCGCTTGCCAGAAGACACCTGAAGAGAAGGATCGGGAGAAGCATGACCGATACTTCCTAAAAGTTTTTGAGAACTTTCTCCACAATGCCATCTTTCTGCCGAGGTACGGGTTGAGTGACGCCGCTTATCTCTTCAAATCTCAATCTGAACTTTTTTGTGGTGACAAGGATTAGTTGACAGGCAGCGAATTAAGCAATCCAAACAAATCCAGGACAGAAAGGAAGCTGCTCTATTCTCCTCAAAATAGACTGAATTTAAACTAAACCAAATAGAAAAACTAAAACCAGTTCCTTGTGCACACCAGATAGTTTTTTGCTCCCAACTGAAAATGCGTAAATTTACATTTGGATAAGAAGGTGACTTTATCAAATATTTCATATTTTTAGTAACTTGGATATTTAACCTTCACTCTTTTTTTGTGGTTATCTGGGTTTAAGGATATCTCACTTGTTTGTTTTCAGTGTTGAGGTAGTTACTGAAAAAGTTAACAGTTACAGGTACTTTTTTTTACTTTGTTTAAACCCTTGTTGATTCCTTACACTGAAATGTAATGCATAACTGTGAAAAGTAACTATTTAGTTACAATTTAAAAGAACATTCTTAAAAAATTAAAGAGATACTTGGTAATTTTTTCAAAAGTTTAAATCATATTTTTCAGGCTATTATGTACTAAAATGACCATTTACAGCATTAATGAAAAGCCACCCAGCCCCATCACGCCTTGTGGCCAGACAATTCCACTTGCAACTTCAGAGTTGCCGGTCTGGTTTATTGGAACTTAGAAAAACTTGAGCAGACTTACCTGGCGCTTCAGTCTGGTTCCAGCATGTTTGCTGCCTGTGTTAGATCATGAACACAGCTGATTTGTTTAATTTAGTGATGAATCGCTCCTGTAGGCACTAAGCAAGGCTGGGGAGATGTTTCAGCTGTTAAATTAAGGTGTTGAAAAAGACAAGCGCACAGCGAGGAGATAGATTTTGCTTTCCTTTTTACAAATGGACACTAGGGGGTGCTAAAAGGAAGCCATAACTGCCTAGTTCCACTTTTATGTCATCTTAAAGAGCAAGTCACCCCCAAATAAACATTTTTTTTGCTGATAAACAAAATAAACGAGTGTCTAATCGTACTGCAGACACATGTAGTCAATAATTTGGCACTTCAGTGCATCTTAGTTAAAATTTAAATATTCTGCCTAAAACTGGCAGTGTTGTGCCATTGTCAGGAAAAAAACTCTGCACTATATTTTAATTTAAATCTGCCACCGCTATTGGCTAAGAGGTATGCTATGATTTAAACTGGTGCATTATGATGTCACAATGCTGTCGTGAGCATGTGTGTGTGTATTTGTTAGCAGCTCCGCCTTCTCGGTCTGCCAGGCAACAGCATTTGTTGCATTTTTCAAACATGAAGTGAGAGTGGAGTTAGACTCTGGTAGGGGTTGACTTGCTCTTTAAGACCAGCAAATTCAAACTATTGGGAAGCTCGGTGGAGCCCAGCTCCCCGAAAATGGTGATGGACTCCCCTGGAAGGCCTCAACCGACACACCCAAGATTGGACTTGTCATAAACTTGTCATGAACTATGTCATAAAAAGGAATTTACAAAGCATGTTTTAGGGCAAGCATTTAGAAACCAATCGTCTGGAATGCATCTTTTAAACTTGCTGAATAAATTTTGCGTAGCATGGGTGAAAAGTTAGCTGCCACCATCCCCTAAAATGCCCATTCAGCATGGGCGACTAATAATGGACAAATGCACTCTTGGGTAACGGTAACTCAGTAACTCGTTAGATTAATAGTTACTGGTAAAAGTGACGGCGTTACTGACTAGTTGCATTACTACCCAACACTGTTTGCTTGCACAACAGATTGTTTCTTGTGGATAGCAGAGGCCAATAAAAATGTCTTGATTCCATTTACACTCTAAATAAGAATCTCAAATACGTGTTTAAACAACTTCTAATCTGTCCACAGGATGGGTTTGATCGCTAAAGTGTTTATGTTTAGGAAAGTGTTGAGTATGTTTCCTATAATGGCTGATGTACAAACAGCTGGCATAAAAACTGTGGAAATTGTGTGTTTTTTAACCTAAAGTTTAGGGTTGAGAGAAAAGAGGGTTCATAAAAAGCACAGGAAGTGTTTCCCATATTGCCTGAACAACCCCCGACTCTTTTTCTTGAGTTTTTTTTTCTTTTCCCTAAATTGAGACAGCTGCCAGGAATTGTACAGTGAATCCATTTGGAGTTTAAATGAATGAGTCCCGCCAGCAGTGGAAGACAAACAGGAAAAGAAAGAAAAGAAAAGAAGGCAGAATAATTGACTCTAGGGAGTGGATCGTTGGCTGTAGTAGTGCAGTGCAGAAGCTGCCATCACCTGACAGGAGCATTAAGTTACTATAATCATCTGCTGTTGTTGGGGTTGATGAAAAAATACTGATACATTGACGCAGATTTCCTGGAAGTTGCCATTTCTAATCTGTTTTAATCTCATAGCCCACGCAAAACCTTCAAACTTTCTTTCATCTGCCTTTTGCATTTCTCTTCTGCTGATCTGCTTTTACAACAGGCTGCCTGTCAGAATAATGAATCTGTCTTTGCTCGGCTCTAGAGGAGAACGTTTACTTCTATTTACAGTTTATTGTAAGTTGTAACTTATGTGCTGGGCTTTGCTGGTCTGCACCAGATACAACTGTCAGAGAAGAATGTTCACATGTAAGTGTGACTGGTCTTTCCCACGATGTGTGCGTGTGTGTGTGTGTGTGTGTGTGTGTGTGTGTGTGTGTGTGTGTGTGTGTGTGTGTGTGTGTGTGTGTGTGTGTGTGTGTGTGTGTGTGTGTGTGTGTGTGTGTGTGTGTGTGTGTGTGTGTGTGTGTGTGTGTGTGTGTGCGTGGGATTAGTTAGAGCTGATACCTCATGAGGATGTTTTCTATCTTTTTCTGCTTCATTTAGTTAAAAAAACTGTAGGAGTTATAAAACAGTTTTCAGCCACTTCAGGATCAAATCACTTGGATAATCAATAAGTTCAGTAAAACTGGTATCAGCTGTCCTCTTTTCCTGTTCCAGATAGAAACTCTTCTCTGTATCTTCGCTGACAACAGAGCAGATCTTACAGGTGGACTCGCCGCCCTGTGGGGGTCTCTTTTACAGCTCCTGGTGCTACATTCACAGATGTCACCACCTCTCCCTCCTCAGTAATGGCAATGTGCAGTTCCAGGAGGCTCTGCAGCTTATCTTCTAAATTCTGATACCAAGTGCCAAAACACACCAGCAGCCTGTGTTTGACAGCTGAACATTGACCTACATGATTAGAGCCTTTGATGTTTCTCTGCCGTGACCATCTCTAGTCAACTCCTTTTATTGTTGATTGTTTTAAATTTGGACAGGAGCTTTCACCCCCTTTATTTATTTATTTTTGTGATATGGAAAAAATGTCTCCCTTCATTCATTTTTTTCCTCCTCTGTCTGTCCACTGTGCAATGATCTGTCTGACCTCAATCTTTTACTTCCAACAGCATCACAGGGAGTGCTGTGCAGCATCTGGGCTTATGACAGTCACAGCCACACACACACACAAACGCACGGACAATATCTGCTCACTCAGTCTCCTCCTTCCTCGCTATATTTCACTGTTTGGGTTGACTGAACTTTTTATTTGTGTCTGTTTCAGACCTCCGGACCGTCGACGCAGAGACATTTTCGGTGTTGCAAACAACACTTTGCTTCAGGAGGGTGGTCAGGGAAATACGTCCCTTGGCCCCGGAGATAACAGTACAGATGGCATTCCTCCTGTCGTAGAGTACGCCTTCTTTGAGGACAAAACCCTGGCAGAACATTTGGAGATCTCCGGGCTGCGGCCTTTTACCGTGTACCGTATCGAGATCCACGCCTGCAACGAGGAAGTGGGCTACGACTGCAGCGTTGGAGCTTTTGTCTTCTCCAGAACTAAACCTGCTGGTGAGAAATGCAGCAAGTTGCACTTGATGGAAATGTGCAAACTTTTTTTTTTTGTTTGTTTTAATAATGTGCATTTTATTGTGTGTTTGGTAGCTAAAGCTGATGACATCCCTGGTAAGGTTGTTTATGAGAGGAGTGAGAAGACTGAAGGGTGTGTGGTTCTGTACTGGCCCGAGCCTGTCATGCCTAACGGACTTATTCTGATGTATGAGATCAAGTACCGTCTGGGTACCGAGGTGAGCACTGTATACTTTATGTAAATATAGAAAATATATGCAACTACAACACATTAACTTTTGTTGTCAACCTGATATAAGATGGGTACCACAGCTAACTGGTGCTAGCAACACAAAAAGGGAAATAGAAATAAATTTTTCTGATTGTACTCAGTCACTCTGAGTTTATCTTGCAGGATGAACATGAAAATAGTCTCCTACACCTATCTCCTGCATTAGCTTCTAATAGAAAATAGACGGTGAAACTCTAGGATTTGAAAAATCTACATTACAATGACACTGATCATTCATGAACTCACCCATCTTGGCATGTGACAGGGAACGCTACAGTTGGTTTAACCTCCAGGAAACAGCAGAGAGTATCTTGGCTAGAAGGAGCTAACCATTAGCACTAGCATCTCCACCACACAGCAGAAGCTCCCCCAGGCTTGTGTTACTTGTGGAGATAAAACAATGTTGCAAAGCAAAAGGAGTCAATAGCAGAGTCACAATGCTGTTATCCAATCAGAATAGAGATGTCCAAATAGCAGGATCCAAATCCTGCCGTGCTCTGCCACTTTTTCCTCCAGCTGACTCGAGGCATACCGGAGCGTTTTTACCCCCGAGAACGACTGACAAGGCATTCATTCCTACGGAGACCACTGCAAACGTATTGAAATATGAGCAAACTTGATCTTTAACTTTACAGATGCTAAGCTCAAATTTGGTACTGGTAACACTTAGCACTAACACATCCTGCAGATCACGTTATTTATTCAACTATTTAAAGTCGTTAGAAAATAGGTCATGAACTAATTGTGGTTTTGCCGAATAATCCAGCAATTACAAACTTAAATTGCATGTAAAGTAGAATGAATGTAATTGTCATTTTACAGATTATACTCATACGTGCACAATTTAGCTGATTAATGTAAAAAAGTCTCTACTGCTGCACAATAACAAAGATCAACATCAATTACATGCAAGGGGTCAAACCCATTGATTGGTAATTAGCCATTTCTTCAACAATAGTTGAGGTAAACTCTGTACTGACCTGCCCTTTTCCTCTCCCACAGCCTGAGAAACATAGCTGTGTATCGCGGCAGCAGTACCGTCAGCACAAAGGAGCCCGTCTGACCAATCTGAGCCCAGGAAACTATTCTGCCCGCGTGCGAGCCACGTCTTTAGCAGGAAATGGCTCGTGGACGGAGAGCATTTCCTTCTACGTTTCGCCACCTAAACGTACATCGGCATTTCTTTCAATTCAACCACACATTGATTAGTTTTAATGTGCAGCTGATTTTGTTTTGCTGTTCTGTCCTACAGGAGATGACGTTGTTGCACTCTACTTGATCATCCTACTTCCCATCCTAGCGACTATCTTAATTGTCGGCCTCACCATCATTGCCTTCTTTATCAACAAAAAGAGGTGAGTGCTTCTGCAAACGCCGCTTCCACTGACTCGATTAGGTTGCCATCGTCATGAAGCTTAATGACGAGTGTAATGTTATTTAGAGTTAATAGGTGTTTTCATTATCATGGCTCTTTGGGGAAAGAGTAGACATCCCATTGAGAACTGAATATTGCATCCAGAGTCAGAGCTGCCTGTCAGCTCACTGAGCCGGGTTTGTGTTTACAGGAACAACAACAGACTCGGGAATGGAGTTCTTTATGCATCTGTCAACCCAGAGTACATCAGCGCTGCTGAAAGTAAGACACGTGAATATCCTTGTTGTGTTTTATGGTTCTGTTTCGATGTTCCTGCACATTGAGACGAGATGCTGTCTCTGTTTGCTGCACCAGTGTACACACCGGATGAGTGGGAGGTGGCCAGGGAGAAGATCACCATGCACAAAGAGCTGGGTCAGGGCTCCTTCGGCATGGTGTACGAAGGCATCGCGAAAGGCGTTGTTAAGGACGAGCCTGAGACGCGGGTGGCCATCAAGACTGTCAATGAGTCGGCCAGCATGAGGGAGCGGATAGAGTTTTTAAACGAGGCGTCTGTCATGAAGGAGTTCAACTGTCACCACGTGGTAAGATGGGCTTGTTGAAGGGTTTGCTGCAAACAAAAAGCCACACTGACAGAAATAAACATGAATGGATAAATGTAGTTCTTCCTAAACTAATTTGCATAAACACAGGGAGGCCAGCAGGCCTTGAGGAGTTTAAGCGTTTAGTTATTTATTTTTATTTTTTTATGCAGGCGGCTTCAGCCTGAGGCAGGGCAAAGCCTCCTGGAGGTTCAGTACATTCTCACATCGATGTAATCACGGCCTCATTAACCACTATAAATGAATGTGGTAAAGATTTCCCTCTAGAAAGCTGCTAAAGAACCCAAACACTCAATTACTGAATTCACTTTGAATTATTCAAAGGAAAGAGTCATTTTTTATTTTATTTATTTATTTTTTTAACAATCTTCAAAGTCAATCAGAGCTAAATATTTTTCTAGTATGTTATGTGTGACGGAAAACCTCCAGTGTTTAGTTTGTTTTCCCTTGTGCATTTCTTATTGGAGTACCTCCGACCTGTGTTGTTATTTTTGTTATTTAATATTAGTGTACAGTAAAAAAATAATTTTTAGAGAACTACGATAGGCTTTTGATGCCAGTTTCATGATTTTAATTTTTTTATTATTTTGCAGTGTGACATTAGTTATAATGTTTATGCTTGTTTCCATTTATAATGTTAGAAAATACCTCTTTATCTTGAGTCATTAGATCAATAATTAATACACAGATGAGCTAAAATGTGATGTTTTGGTGGCTGTGTGTCATTCACATCCAAATGCCAGTGTGGGTGTTTTTATGTAACTTTGTGGTTTAACAAGGAACCGGAAGAATAGGAAATGTTTATTAAACAATCAGAATTTTAGCCCGCGGGTAATATGGATTGATATTTTTTATGGTGACTAACTTTGCTAAACACTGATCCCTGACTTCTTTGGTAATATTCTCCTAATAGGGTATCTGTTATTTCACAGCAGGTTCACTAAGAAACTTAGAATGTTCTTTTTAAATACAGTCTCTCTGAGTTTCACATGTATGCTGAATGTGAAAATAGTCTTCTAGCCCTATTTCTTGCATTGGCCACTGACTTTACTGAGTAAACAAAAGGAAACTCTCGGGTCAGAAAAGCCACATTAATCTACTTCCCTTTGTGAAGGTAGTATTCCTGGACTCACCCATCTTGGCTCGTGACGAGGAAGGCTGAATTTATTTAGTGGCAAGGAGAGAGCAGAGCATGTCTCAGATAGTAGAAGCTAACTGTTAGCATTAGCAACTCAAAAAAAACTTGGCAGAAGTCACTCAGGTTTGTGTTATTCGTGAAGATAACAGGTCAACGTTGCAGTGTGAAAGGAGGCAGCAGAAGAGTTGCGTTGCTGTTAGCCAATCAGAGGCGAGATGTTGGGATATCATGAATAGTAATAGGAGTCAAAATCTTCTGTTTTCTGCCCCCCACTCCTCCAACTAACTTTTACATCATGAAACAGGAGCGAGCGCCAGAGCTTTTTTCCGCTGCACATGTGATGAAAAGAACAAGTGTATGCCTGCTTTAAAATGTTTTGCTTTGCTCACCAAGATGGCGCTGGGAGACATGTTTGTCATATAACTGACTATTATGACAAACAAGCCAGTATTCATAACATTAATAATTCCTGAAATTAATTAATAACACATTGAATTAGCTTCTTCAACAAGAGCATTGCATGAAATTGCAATAATTTTCCAGAAGGTTTTAAATTCTGACTCTATCACTTCTTGACATTAACAGTCCTAGATTAGGATTAAAGCAGCAGTGGTATGGATTTGAAACCCAGCTGTTGATTCCCCAGAAGATGTGAGCTTGTTTTGTTGTTGCTGCAGGTGCGGCTGCTGGGTGTGGTCTCTCAGGGACAACCAACCTTGGTGATCATGGAGCTGATGACCCGTGGAGATCTAAAGAGCCACCTGCGCTCTCTGCGTAATGAGGTAAGCAGCTCCGAACAAACACACAGATATGTCAAACCCTGTTGCCAGAAATTTTCATGAGCAGTGTGAAAATCAAATACTTTCTGCCTTGCCCCACAGAACTCTAACACTCAGGTGCTACCCCCGCTGAAGAAGATGATCCAGATGGCGGGGGAAATTGCCGACGGTATGGCTTACCTAAACGCCAACAAGTTCATCCACCGAGACCTGGCTGCCAGGAACTGCATGGTAACAGAGGATTTCACGGTGAAGATCGGAGGTGGGTCCATTTAACGTGCTGCCTTCGGCTCCTCCAAGTTTGCCCAATGCTAAGCCTGCTCTGCTGGCTGTGAAAATAACTGTTAGGATTTCAGCAAGTGCCTTCAGGCGGTGGGGTGTTAATGTAGACGGACAGAGAAGGAGGGAGGACGTGAGGGGAATGCATGAGCTCTCAGGAGTCTCCCACACATCGTGAGTGATGTTCAGTGGCTTACCCCGTCTGATTTCATTATTTTTTCCTGCAGATTTCGGCATGACCAGAGATATTTACGAGACAGATTACTACAGAAAAGGAGGGAAGGGCCTGCTGCCTGTTCGCTGGATGTCTCCAGAGTCCCTGAAAGATGGTGTCTTCACTACAATGTCTGATGTCTGGTATGAGAAAACATTACTCACCCTCAAAACAAGCCTGCATCATACGTGCATGAACCTGCTGTAATCCAAGGGGGTGGGGGGGTCAGGGGGACCCTGAGCTGCCTGCATATTTTCCCTTTATGCACTCCAAAACAGTTCAAGCTGTGGGGGTCACAACTGTAAAAACCTGCAGATCACCTCAGAATTTCAGTAAGAACATGAATTTTCTGACTTTTCCATAACATCCACAGTGTGAAGACAAAACAGCATGTTTGCCTCCTTATGAGCTTTTTTTTTTTTTTTTTTTTTTACTGTAGCTCGTCTGTAGTTTTTGTTCCCAGCCTAAAATGCCCCACGGGTTTGTTCCCGACAGTGGGTTTAAACTTCTCCAGATGTTCACAAATGAGAGGCTGCCGTGCCAGCGCAAACCCACCTTCACATGTTGAGCACCATATCCTCCTCTTTGATGTTGAAGTATGTCCTCCTCTTTGATGTTTAACTTTAGTGTGAAACAAACCAATTCTTGGGTTTCATGAGTAGGTGATTTTAAAAGAGTTGATCGGTGAGGGGAAAAAAACTTCATTATGGCATTTTTATGAGTTTTGCAATCAGTGGTTTAGGAGACAAAAGTCCCAAAATAAACATGTGGGTAAAAAAAATATTGTGGTCAGCGTTAGTCCAGTAAAACATTGTTTTGTTCCGGACATAATTTCATATTCATGTCATTGGCCGGCGGCCTGAGGTTCAAACGTCAATAGTTTATAATTGTCCTACAGTGGAAAGTTCTCTGAATTAGGTCCAGGTTTGCTTGTTGACATGTTTTTAATATGCAGGAAGAAAAAACTGAGGTTTATTTTAGCGTAAAACATCTGCATGAAACTGAAAATATTCTGCAGTTTCATCTCTGCAGAGCATGCAGAAAGGAGGACATGATGCTGCAAACACAAAGTCTCTTTTTTTCAGTCATGGGACAATAAACTCCTTTTTTATAGTTCATGTCAACAGTAAATTGATTTAGACTTATTTTTATTATCAACAAACAAATAGAAAGTAATATAACAGCACACAGAGTAGAATTGGAGTCAGCAAGTGTGTGTGTGTGTGTGTGTGTGTGTGGGGGGGGGGGGGTTACTAGAATGCTTTAGGACTGCTGTGCTGAATGAGCATTTTCTGCAGAATTTTCTTCCCTTGGGAAGAATATTTTTACATAATTTTACCTGAATCCTGCTGTAAGAAGATGAAAACACACAACCTTTTAATTTTAAGTTCTTGTATCATGAGCAGATTTAACCCCGACCCTTTTATAAAAGGTTTTACTTTCCAGGTTGGTCAGAAGAATGTTTTTATATGCATAGTGCAGACTTGCAGAGACACCAATTGTTTTTTTTCCTTTTCAGCTTTTACATCAACATGCATGAATGATCACATTACAAGGTCCTCAAAACACAGATTCCTTAAAGTTCTTTAAATTATGATTTGGTGTTGAAATAAGTGGAAACATGCTATTTCTCCATAAATCTACAATTACATGATATATTATATATATTATAAACAAACAATTATGCAATTTGTTTAACATTATTGCTATTAACAGCAGCAATACCTGCTTGGGCCACACGTGGAAAGAAGACTGAACAAAGCACCGATCTATAATGAAAACATTTATCTCATTTTATAGAAGTTCAAAACATTTTCTGATGCTACTAAAATCCCACTGATGGAGGTTCATATACGCGACTTTCTGCTGATTTTATGACCTGATCTTCTGCTGCAGGTCATTCGGTGTTGTATTGTGGGAAATTGCCACCTTAGCAGAGCAGCCTTACCAGGGAATGTCCAACGAACAAGTGTTGCGCTTCGTCATGGAAGGAGGACTCCTGGAAAAGCCTGACAACTGCCTAGACATGCTGTGAGTCTGAATTTATTTGTGATAGAATTTATTATTCCATGCAGCCATTGTAACCTTTTTTTTTTAATTCCCACCATTATAGTTGGCCACACGTCTATTTTAGGTGTAAGGGATATCATGTACGTGTGCTAAACTAGAGCGGAGACCAACTCTGACATTAACGTCACCGGCTAAATGCTGTCAGCTGACAACATCGCTTCATCTGTCAGCGACGGCCTCCTCACTCATCAGTGTTGGCCAATAGAGGCAACATCCTAACCCGTGTGTGAAAATGCCCCTCATTTCCTTACTGAAACACCTCTGATTGTTGTAAAACATCCTTCTTCTGAAAAGCTGTATGTATATATATATTCTCTCCTTCTCTGACCTCAATATAAAGGCATCCTGCAGTCCCCCCTCCCACTCTACATGGCTGACCTCACCTTAGACGGAGCGCGAGGAGAACGAAAAATAGGGCCGATTGTTGTGCAGACACAAACCTCGGGTTTCTATGGCAGCCTGACAGTTTTGTCCTGATTACAGGAGTGTGTGGATTGTGTTACAGAGGTGGTGGAGGCGCGGGGGCTTAGCCATTTGAGCGGCTGTGCCAGTGATGGTCGCCTGTGGAGATTCACAGAAAACTGCCTTTTTTAGAGTATTAAAGCCAGACACTTAAAAACGGACAAACTGTGGGAAACACAAAGTCAATGAGGGTTAGATAGCACATCTCCTCCTCGTACTCTCCATCTCACGTGGATGTGAGTCACTGGTTAGGTTTTTCTAGTTTGCAGATCTGGACATACTTGCTTGTGTTAAGATGGATAGAACCAGTTAAATTCATTAAACGTTACAGCATCGATATTCAGAGACGGCTCTGCACTCACACTTGGCCTGAACTCGAGTCTGTTTCTAATTTTATCAAATATTTGCAGCCTCTTTCTTCTGTGAAACATTTGGCACCGCAGCCTATAGCTCATGTTTTAACACAACGTCACCACACATTTGCTCGAAACGCTTACCATCTCACCCGTTAAAGTTTTAAATCTGCACCACCGGCGCTGCGTTTTTGAGTCGCAGCTGAAATTTAAAACCAGCAAAAATAAATCAATAAATAAACAGCTAAACGAAGAGATAAACAGGAGAAATAAACAGAAACTGGACGAAGTATCGGCTCAGTCGATCCGTAGCGACGGAGTTTATTGTAATAAATTCCACTAAAACAATAATAAAAACGACAGTATAAGAATCAGCCTTTTTATATCATATAAACTAAAATGTACATGTTGTTCTCTGTTAAGTAAATGTGGACTAGATGCACATTTTTAATTATCTACTTTTCTGATTCTTTTAGAGAAATTTCTTAGTTTTCTGATATTTTTATAACGTTTATGACAACATTTTCTTTATTTCTTCCTAAATAACCTAAATAACCAACTGTGGTGTGCAGCTTTAAAAAATAACATTTGCATGAATGAACCACTGATATTTAAGCAATGGGAGCTGGTTTCAGACAACAGAAATTGGATTTGGATGTGGCTTCATGCACTAAAAACTATTTTAGCTGCAAACTGAGTTATTTAAAAAGGCTATTTATAAGATAAGAAGGCAAATATGATTTTTACCAAAAAAAAAAAAGAAGTGATTTAAATTAATAGCCACGTGTTTCATGACATAAATCTGGATTTCCTGCCTTGTTTGCTAAATCTTCATCAACAGGTTACTGTGGTGTGTCAGCACAGCTCAACAAATGTAAGTCAACTCTGAGACACTTCCTCCAACTCTGAAGTGGCAAAAACAAAAGAAAACAAAAAAATCTCTGTACTACATTATATTCTGTAGCAAGGCCCGTGATTACGCAAGTTCTACACTGAATTCCTCAGAGTGGAGAAAACTGGCATCTAGCTGCAGAAGTGTTTCAGGGTAGGAAGGAGAAAGCAGGGAGGAGAGAGGTGAGAGAGGGTGGGGGCAAAAAACCAGACGGAGGGGAAAGCTGTAACCCAGCGAGCTAGCCGAGGTGTTTATGTCAGCGAGCCTTAGAGAGTATTCTTAGCTTGTTTGTGTATAATTGAAGTTGCGGGATGTGGCGCCGTACCACAGAAAAATGTAATAATTCTCCCTTTTTATGGCGTTGTTTTGACATTCCCAAAGCTCGGCTGCTGGCCTGGCACAGTAACCTGAGTGTGATTTACTGCTCTGCTGAGTACACGCTGTGGTACTGATCTAACCGTTTGTATCGCAACGGGGTACAAAACCATCAGAATTCCACATCAACTGATCAGATCAGATGCCATCAAAGTCTAAATTAACAACATCCCAAAATCATTATTGTCTTTGTTTTTTATTTTTTTATTTTTTGTCAAATTGTTACTGGATTTAACTTCACATCAGAACAAAAAACAGAAATTATGAATTGCACTCAAATAATAAAGGTCAACTTCATTGGCAAAACTTTTTGTTTGTTTCTGATTATAATCAGTCACTCGGTTTTTTTATGCAGGCTGAACATGAAAACAGTCTCCTACACCTATCTCCTGCATTAGCTTCTGATAGAAAATAAATGGTAAGACTCTAGGATTTGAAAATCCTGACAGATCTACATCACACGGTCACTCGTGGACTCACCCATCTTGACTCGCGACGGGGAAGGCTGTTGTTGGTTTAGCACTCAGGAAACATCAGAGAACATCTCGGCAGGTAGAGCCTAACAGTAGAGTCGCTTTGCTTTTATCTAATCAGAGGGGAGATGTCAAAATATCATGAAATGTGACTCCATAACCTAAATGGCCCGCCCTAAAACAAGCGCACCAGAGCTTTTTTTCCCCCAGAGAACAAGTTACTTGCCTTCATACCTGCTGGAGACAACTGCAAATATATAAAAAATGTGAGTTAAACAAGCGATGAGGATATTTTAGACAATTGTTGAAAATTAAAACAGGAAAACAAATTGAAATGTAATTTTTTACATTTTTAAAATCTCTTTAGACTGTTTTTAAGACCCATATGCAAAAGAAAACTATGTTTCGGTGTCAACAGGTACAAAAACCAACACGAACTGCAGCTTCTTCTGCCACCTGCTGGTAAAAACAGGAAATGCTCCTCTTGCTTATCATGGATGTGATGGATTAACCTCTCTGCAGGATGATTATGTCAAGAAAGAGTGGAGAAAATTAGAATTTTAATCTAATATAATGCTTTGAGTGTTCCAGTGTTCTCTAATTACACATGTGATAAGTTACTTTTAGGTTTACACTTTATGCGTTGCTTCCAGGTTTGAGCTAATGAGGATGTGCTGGCAGTACAACCCTAAGATGCGTCCAACCTTCCTGGAGATCATCAGCAGCATCAAAGACGATCTGGATCCCCATTTCAGGGAAGTAAGTTTCTTCTTCAGCGAGGAGAACAAGCCACCGGACACAGAGGAGCTGGACATGGAGGTGGAGAACATGGAGAACATTCCACTGGACTCAGTATCTACGAGGCAGCCGTCTTCTTCTTCTGCTGCTGCTGTTTCGTCGTCTGGGTGCGCGGGAGGCACGTCGCCTCCTTCTGCCCAGCAGTTATCACTCATTCAGGGCCCAAGTACTCCATTACTAGGACCTGTGTCCCCTTCATCCCCGGTAGCCTTGGCCGGAACGTCTTCAGGACAAGGCTCGAACAAGCACTCAGGACACGCTTTGGCCAATGGGCCCGTGGTGGTGCTTCGGCCCAACTTTGACGAGTTACAACCATACGCACACATGAATGGGGGTAGAAAGAACGAACGGGCGTTACCGCTGCCCCAGTCGTCGGCCTGCTGATATCAGTCCAGCACCTCCTTTTTCCTCTCACACAGGGTATTAAAACCTCTCTTAAGTCTTCTAAGGAGGGGCGGATGAGGTTTGAACATTACTGTGTCCTGTGTGTGCCAGTAGACGGTCTCTCCGCTGTTTCAGGAAGGAACAAAAAAGCAGAGGACCTAAACTGTACAAACAGATCAGAAACCTGCTGAGGCGTCTGGAGTTGGGCGGCTCAGACACACACTGGGGGACTCCTTCCTGGGCAGCCTGCATATTTCAAATTTTCGTTCCACATGAGACGGAAAACGACGCACACATGCGTCCTGGCACGCACAAACTTCAAGTAAATCCTTTTTGTTTATAGCATATCTGCCAGCAAAAAACCAACAGAAGAGCACTTTTTTTTGTCCTGAGGATTTCAGAGATGATGTGATGGATATTTGAGTGTGTATTTATATAATCACGTCTTTCTCTCCACAATATGATATAGCAACTTTTTTTAATTACTTTGTTTCCATGAGCCGACTGGCTGGTGTTTGTTTGTGTGAGGTTGCCTCGAGTAAAAGGTTTGGAATATGATTCATGTTGCATTTAAATATTGAATTTTCTACGTGATCCTCTTGGGCGGGTATGGGTGATACAGGTGGACGGCCTGTTTTTTACCCGCCAAATAATTGCCAAAATTGAGCGTTTCTTTCATGTTTCTCCTTTTTTATGTTAAAGGCTGTGATTCACAGTTGATATTAATCATTCTGTGCAATAATAGCTGAATTATTTGGTGTTTTTCCAGACTTTTTTTTCCTTCGAGTGATCATAACTGCTCTGGAAGCGAGGTTTACCAGATGTTGCTGTATCTGCACTGGGTGTGGAAATTATTATTTTTATTTTTTAAAGAACACAAAAACTCCAGGGAGTGAATTTTAGTCAGCACTGAAACAAGACATGATTGAGCTAATATCTGTAAGAATTTTTTATTTAATTTATAAAAAGCAGACTAAACACCAAGTAGCACTTATACCACAAAATATTTGTCAATCAGACTCCAAGATTTTTATTTGTGGAACTAAAGCATAAAGTAGTTTGTGTACTGTGTACATGTTGTACATTAAAAAGAGTGACCGATCACAAAATTATTTAAATTATTACGAGGTAACATAAAGGCTGTCCTCACTCATCACGCATATTTATTTTGTTTTTGAATTGTAAACAATCAGAAAAGTGGAGGTTTTTGCCCCTCCCAGCTCAAAATTAGTTTATTTTTATATTTTATGCATATTTTTTCTTTTTTGTTAAATCATGTCATGTGGAAATAAACAATAAAAGCATTTGTTATTTTAGGGAGCAGTTTTCTGAGACGTTTGCATATCAAACACTGAACTGAAAGTGGCCTTATTAAGATGTTGCTTTACCACCCCGATCCTCGCAGATCTGAGCAAAAGTGACTTCCTTATCCATCGATTTAAGTCACCAAACTGTGAATCACAGCCTCACGAGTGTCTTTGGTTCAGTTTTGGTTAAAAGAAAGGAAAAAAAATGTTTTTGCAAATCATTTCCTGTCATAATCAGTCAATACAGCCCCTCCTCCACAAAAACGAAACTTTTATTTCTCTACATCTGCATTTCTCACCCAAAACGGAGAAAACAGATCCATCCCACCGAGAAGTTTTGCCTGGAGGCAAATTTAATAAAAGGTTATTAATGTCTCTGCTTTTCAGTCACAGTTAACAAGGTCTTGTGGATGTTCTGTTTTTGATAGCAGGATCATTTTTCTTCTAGTTTTCTTTTATACATCATTGGTTTTGTCACTTTTTGACGGACAAAAAAAACTTTTTTACGATACAAATGTTTGCCTCTGTGTCTGTACAAAACAAAGCTGCTATTTTATTCTTCTCTCTCTTGGTTGATTTATATATATATGTATATATATGTATATATATATATATATATATATATATATATATATATATATATATATATATATATATATATAAGAAATCCTTCAGGTTTTCATACTTTATGATCTCAACAACAACAGTCCACTTCTAAAAGATTTCCCCAAGTTTCCGGTCACATGACATTTTCTTCATTGCCTTTTATTTTTATGAAATGTTTTCTTTTTGTTGTGTAGATGTGAAAAAATATTATTATTACTATTATTATTATTAGAAATGAACATGTTAGCTCGGTGCGCATGAGTGTACATTCTGCCCCCCCCCCCCCCCCCCGCCCCCCCCCCCCCCATTTGTATTTTACGTTTATCGCGCCTAGCGTTGCCCTCTAGGTGCGACTTAATCTCAGGTTCAAGTAAAAGGCTTTGTTTTCTCCACACATTCTCTTATCATGTCCTCCTCACCTCCCCCTTTTTGTTGTGCTGGATGAAACCATGTCCTCCCCCCTTCCCTCTGCCACCCTTCACACACACCCCTGCTGTGCCTCCTTTAAAACTCAAAATTAGCTCTAAACCAGCTCTGGGTTTGTCACCTGTTCGTTTCTTCCCTCTGACAAAGTAGGGCTACCTAAGTTGTCCTGTTTGCCTTAATTCACAAATCATCTTTTAAGCATTTATTCATCTTTTCCTATTTATTTTAATTTCCCCAATCCACTTCTCCTAGCAGGACGCCCTTTTCTGCTAAAGCTTCAAAGTGAGAATTTCAAACTGGTTGATTGTGTTCATTACTGCTGCCTCTGAAAACCAAATACAGGATGGTTCAAGTCCATGGAAAGGAATGAATCTTGCATTCATAAAAAAGGTCTTAAAAGTGGCTGAACAGTGAAAGTTTTGAAGGATCTCCCATGCTGCCTGCTTGTTTCTCTCTCTTATCTCCCTGTAGGAGTGTTTATATTTATTTCCCTTCCTTTCTGGGTGACCAGTACACTAGAAGTCATTGTATAAATGCCCCATAATTCAGTGCAAACATTTGTTTGTATGCGTTGCCCCTTTTATTTGTACCTCACACCCCCCTTCAGGCATATCTACCTCACTCTTTTTGAATATATTCGTGCGTGCGTGAAATAAATACATCTCACTCATATCAGTTTTAACAGAAACCTCACCTGATTCAAACCCACAGGGATCTAAACGAACCTCATGAACTTGGACAGAAGATGGAATGGAAGCATCGTGAGTTTGGCTCATGAATTTATGAACTACTTGTTTTACAAAAAAAAAAAGCATGTTTCTATGTCTGACTTTAAAAACTGAACCAAAAGTAGATTGTGCTGCTGATCATTAAGCACAGTCTGGTTTAGTTCTCTGCAGAAACACTGTCGAACATTTGCCGATGTTCATCAGAAACAATCTAACGCGGTTAAATCAACCTACACTGTTTTTCAGCTGGTTAGCAAACCGTGTGTGGCGAAGGAGTTTTAAGCATTCCATCTTCACCGAGTCGCAGAGTTATTATCATCACAACCTCGAATCCTCAAGACACAACCGTAACGTTCTCATCTACAAACGCATTTATCGAGAAGAATTTAACACGGGAAATATTACAGAAGGGAAACCTATTGTTCACCTCCAAGAAAAGAAAAATAAATATAAGTGCTTCATTTGCAGCCGACAGTCGCACCTATTCCGTATAAAGAGATGGCATTTATTTCTATTACATTTATGTATGTAAACTAAACAAAAAAAAATTCATTTCCACCCAAAATAATTTAAAAAGCATCAAATTCCCCAATCAGCTTTCTACTGTTAGTGGAACTTAAAAGAGACCTTTGGTGTTTTTACTATTTTGATTTTATTTATTTGTGCAAAGTTCATCATTTAAAAATTCAACCAACTCAATGCCTTAGTGTTCATTCTGACGCATGCTCATCAGACACTCTCAAAGATTATATATTCTAAAGGTGTAGAACACTGAAAAAACGTTTTTAATTGTTATTTCTGATCATAATCGATCACTCCGAGTTTTTCATACAGGTTGAGCATGAAAATAGTCTCCTACACCTATCTCCTGCATTAGCTTCTGATTGAAAATAGACGGCGAAACTCTAGAATTTGAAAAGCCTGACAGATCTATGTCACTTATGTCAATTAACACTCATGGACTCGCCCATGTTGACTCATGACGGGGAAGGCTGTTGTTGATATAGCATCCAAGAGACAGCAGAGAATATCTTGGCTAGTAGAAGCTAACCGTTAGCATTAGCAACTTCACAACATGGCAGAACTACTCCAGGCTTGTGTTATTTGTGGAGGTAAAACATCAACATTGAAAAACAAATAGAGTCAGTGATAGAGTTGCATTTCTGTTATCCATTTAAGGCGAGATGTCCAAATATCAGGAAATAAAACTCCCAAATCCTGCAGCATTAGGCTCACCTCTGCTGCAGCAGATTTGTCTGGGCTAATGCAGGCGCTTCTGGGCTTTTTACCCCCCGAATACGACTTGAAAGGCATCATTTCTACCAGAGACCACTGCAAATGTACTGATTAAGTGTTCAACACCTTTGAATTATCTCTCTAATGTAATCTATACACACCTGTTTGTGTGCTGCCAGCTCAGTCGCCACAGTCAGTCCTAAACTGTCATCAAATACAACTACCTAGGAAAAAGCAAAGTAACTCAGACATCTTTAATCTTCTTGAACTTCCTGAAACATCAGCTGGACTATTTAATTCCCAGTTTTTGGCCTATCTGTGATCCCCGCTGATGAATATCCAAAAGCAATAAAAAACTTTAGATAATGATTTAGCCGACATCTAATGTGGGAGGCGAAATTTGAGGTGCTCAATAAAGATTAGTATGTTTTCTTGATTTAATGTAATAAAAATGAAAAATATTTTGGTTATAAACAGTAAAACTGATATTAGCATTTACTATTTATATGTTTAGGTGTCTTATTTCAGATTTTCACTTCAGAGTAGAAACTGATCATCAGTGAGGTGAACTATTGAAACTGCAGCATTTCACATATGAAAATTATGAACAGGGATGTCGCATAGATTACGGGTAGTCATAATAAATAAACATTATTAGCAAAGAATTCACTCTAGATGCTTTTTTTCCTCATTTTAATTAAACGTCCTGTATGGCCATACTCTTATTTAGTGATACTCATGTTTTTAATTTCTTCAGAATGTTTATCAGATAAATGTCAGGTTTGTGGGAAATTGCATCCTTGTGTTCCCCTGCAATAATAGGGTTGAGGTTTATTGTTAAAGTCTCTTTTGTACCATTTGCATTCCTACACCTTCTGAGGGGCCTTGGTCTACTTCTATGATCTACTATAATGTTTCTACTAAATCTGTGTTCATAACTTGATTGGGGAAAGCAACTATTGAAAGATAATGACTTAGACTCTCATCTTCTTTTAAACTCTGTATCTGAAGCCTCAAAGTTGTTTTATCACTTCTATGGCTGAGACGGTGACATTTTTTGATGCGCCGTCTCCAAATGTGTATGAGAATTATTTGTATTTTACTTTTTTGTTCTGAAATTTTGAATAAATAAATCAATGAGAACAGAGACTGCTTTTATTTCTGCTCATGTCCCGCATGATGTTGTGTTTGCTGACATGATGCAACGTGTCAGATAAGAATTGGGGCCACTGAAAAGAAAAATAAGAGAAGAAACAATCTTGGCTTTAGAATTGAAAGATTCTAAGGAAGATTTAATCTCAGAACTCTGACTTTTTTCTTAGACTTCAAAAAACTGAATTCTTACGGGAAAAGGGTCAGAATTTTTCAATTAAAATCAGAATTCTGATATTAAAGTCAGAATTCTGAGGGGAAAAAAGTCAGAATTTAGAAATTTAATTAAAAGTTCTGAGAGAAAACAGTCAGAATTCTGAGAAAAAAGTCAGAATACTGTTGGAATTCTGAGATTAAGGTTACAATTCTGAGATTAAATTAAAAATTCGGAGGGGAAAAAAATAAAAATTCTAAAATTAAAGTCACAATTCTGAGATTAAAATCACATTTCTGGGAAAAAGTCATAATTCTGAGAAAAAAATTCATAATTCTGAGGGGGAAAAAGTCACAATTCTGAGAATAAAGTTGGAATTCTGAGATTAAAGTTGGAAGTCTTTTCCTTATCTTTGTTTTCTCAGTGGCCCTAATCTTCATCCATACTACATAATTGTTGGGTCCAGGGGTCTGTCTCCTCCAGTTGTTGGAGCATTTTCATAATGATTTCTTGCAGTAGAGGAACGAGTCTGTCAACTGATGAGAGATGGCCTTAGAGGTGATGTGGACAAAGGCTGCTCTCCGATCACCATGATGTAATGAGCAGTAATACGCAAATCACACATCTGGGAAAAAAAGTAGCATCCATTACTTATCTCCATCAATACAGTGCAATAATGAATGCACACCAGCATCTCTTGAATAAATCACATCCTTCTCTTCTTGTTAAAAGTGCTTGGAGATGATCTTCATGTTAACCACTGAGTCTAGTTTTTCTGCTCCACCTTCGATGCAGCAGTGACCTGTGGGGCAGAAGCCACACACATCTCCATCTCTGTAGCCATCGTTTTTGCCTGTTTGCTCCAAAATGACGAGGCTGGAACCTCTGGCAATGCCCAGATAAACAGCAAACTACAGTAGAAAGATACAATTAAAAGGTGCTTTGTTGACAGTATAAACAGTACTGTGCAAAAGTTTTAGGCAGGTGTGAAAAAGTGTAAACCCTGCTAAATGTGCCTCACTCCATCTGTCAGTGGATTACGGACTTCCTGGCAGATAGAAGACAGCATGTGAGGCTGGGAAGAAATGTCTTAGTATGAGGAGAAAAAAGTTTCAAAAGATTTGTGCATGTGTGTCTAAATTTTTGCGTGTGTATCTAGATTTGTGCGTGTGTGTACCTAAATTTGCGTGTGTGTATCAATATTTGTGTGTGCGTGACTAAAGATTTCTGTGTGTGTGTGTGTCTAGATTTGTGTGAGCATAACTGAAGATTTGTGTGTGTACCTAGATTTGTGTGTGTGTGTCTAGATTTGTGTGTGTACCTAGATTTGTGTGTGTGTGTCTAGATTTGTGTGTGCATAACTAAAGATTTGTGTGTGTGTAACTCTTGATTTGTAGCATGTGTTTACATTTTCATGTATAACTTCAGCTCCTAAACATACTGTTCGGGGTTTGTTCTGTTATTACAGTTATGTGTTTGTTGTCATGTTGCTATGGTGACAGGTGACGCGCTCTCTTGGCGACTGTTTTTCCGGTGAGAGCGCGCCTTTTTGTTGTTGTTGCTGTGGTCACGCTGAGGAGTGTAAGATTAAACGGGTGCTCCCAAAGAAACCTCTGTCTCCTCCGTGACTGAGCTCACCACATTGGTGTCAGAAGTGTGATTTTCACACTTGCCATAATGGAGAGAGACATTCGGAGGCTGGAGCAAGCTATCGAGGAGAACATTACTCGCCTGGAAAGCTGGCAATTGGAAAGAGAGGATGTGAGCGGCCATGTAAGCTCCCCGATGGGTCCCGATGGCGCGAGCGCACCGAGATGGCGCCCGCCGCGACCGACGCTAGGGCAATGCTTGATGGGCTGCCTCCGTCGGCCGACACACCGGGCCCCCGACAGCGAGCAGTGATGCCTGCAACGCCAGCTAAAGTACCGAAATATAATGGGCTAACCCCGCTACAGCCCTACCTCTCACAAGTACGGCTAGCCGCGAGACATAATGGCTGGAGCGACGACGAGGCTGCTACACACCTAGCGCTAGCATTGGAAGGAGATGCACTGCAGGTACTCCTCGACCTAGCCGCGTCAGAGCAGCATGAGCTCCAGGCCCTCACCACAGCACTCGAGAGGTGATTTGGGCAGCGGCACTCCACTGATCAGAGCAGGGAGCAGCTGACCAACCGGAGCCGTAGGCCGGGGAGAGCCTGGGCACCTTTGCAGTGGATGTGTTGCTGTACGCTCGTCGTGGCTACCAAGAGTTCCCAGCAGCAGCCCGGGAGGAGCTTAGCCTGCATGCTTTCCTGCGAGGACTTTTCCCAGAGCGACTGCGCCAACACGTCCGCCTGGCCATGCCTCAGACTCTCAGTGAGGCGCTCCTTCAGGCTGAAAGGGCCGAGCTGGTGCTCGCCTCGCCACCCCACCAGCAGGTGCGCCCCCCCCCCCCCCCCCCCCCCCCAAGCTACCTTGTTTAAAAACTTTTAAAATGATCAGACACTCCAATTTACAATTAATTCAGTACAAAATTCTACACAGAGTACTATACAGGTCATCGGATGTTCAAGATGGGGTTTGTGTCATCTGACACCTCTACACACTGCACAAACAACATTCCTGACAATTACATTCATGCACTGTGGTCCTGCCCACCTGTCCAGGAATTTTGGGGTGGAGTGTGTGAAGACCTGTCAAAGTCTCTGAAATGTCACATCCCAAACACCCCCTCTCTTTGTTTACTGGGAAACCTGGACGATGTCCCGATTGAAACATCTTTGGTTCACGTGGTTCTGACTGCCATATGCATCGCTAAGAAAACTATCCTCTTGAATTGGAAAAATAGAGAAACTCTCTGCATTAACCAGTATAGAAATCTTTTGTTAGATCATATTACACTTGATATAGCCTCTGCTTCCACTTCAGATCAATCTCTCTGGGCTCCTTTGATCGGTTCCATCACATAGAGAGGGTGGGGGGCCGTTGATGTTGTCCTTCGGGATGGTGTGGGTGGGGGGGTGTGGGGTCTGAGTTTGGAGTATCCGGATGTTCCCTGGAGGTGGGTTCACTGGGGGTGTCTGGGACTGGGGGGCCGTTGCTCCCCTCTGGAGGTGCTTGGGTTGCCTCGGGGGGTGGACTGCTGGCAGTTGTGAGTGGGGCCCCTTGGGGATCTTGGGGGCAGCCATGGGCCACTGCCTGGCAGCTGCATTGCCCCTGGGTGGTTCTGGGTGGGGGCCTGGGGGCTCGGGGTTTGGGGGTGGCCGGCCCCGGGTGTGGATCTGTGCGGGGCCTTGGGGGTCAGGTCCTGACATGTATGCTGCCGGGAAGAAGGCAGGAACATGCAGCAGTGCCTGGCCCGGGTTCGGGAGCCTCAGGTAGACCTTGGCTCCTTGGCCGTTCCATCACAGGGGAGGGGGAGGTCCAGGAGGGGGAGGACCCAACCTTACCTGGATGTCCCATGTCTTATATATTCTGGAAGTTGTGTAAATGCAGGGATGGGCATAGATATTCTGCTGGAGTGGGGCTGGGTTGGTGCCCTCGGGCTCCGTGAGGCTCTGTAATGCTGCTGCTTTGGGCCCTGGCATGATGGGCTGGGGTCTCCATGCCCTGGGTGCCAGTTTGACAACAGAGGTGCCTATTGGGGCCAGTAGTGGACCTGGCTCCCTGGAGGGTTAAGCCCAACCAGCCATTCCTCCCCATCCCCGCATGTTTCTCTCCTCCTGCTCCCTCACATCATCACACAAACATACACATAGGACCTTGGGGGGTGGGCAAGTCAGGGAGTGCGGGTATGGACCCCATTTCCGCATTCCTGTGGCTACCTGCCCCCCAATTTTATTTGCACCTTATACACTTCCCCTGATGACATTCCACACAAACACACACTTAGGGCCTTGGGAGTGAGCACATTCAACAGCATTTGGCAGGGGGATATATCAGCCTCCTCCCGGGTGCCGGTGCCCACTTCCAATTTTAAACCGCACTTAGCCACTCTTCTTCCTGCGCTCACAGGAAGCAGACGCTTCTGCCTTTTCCTCCCTTATCTGTTTTTTCCCAAGGCTCTTTTTGTCCCGTCTGCCTACAGAGCGCTTCTCTGCATTTCCTCTGCAATCACCTTTTTTCAGCATTTTTCAACATGGACTTGATTAATTGGTCATTCAACGCGATTGATAAGATTTTTTCTACAATGAGGACGGAGGAGGGGGCTCACGCTTGTCCTCAGGGGACACATGCAGCGGGATATATGTTCAATTCCTGGAAAAAGTGGAATATCATCTGTCTCTCTCAGCTGTCCATTGAGGACGTCGAAGATATGTGGATATTTGGCCTGATGATCGTTGGATTTCTTCTGATTGGAGTGGGAGGATATCTGGCTTTCCGTAAAATTGGGATGACGGGAGCGATTGGAGGGCGACCCGCAACCATGGACGGCACCGTCCGTGTGGATACCTCACAGACTGGGACGTTGCTCGAGGTGAATCGCAAGCTGGACAATGTCTTAGCTGCGTTACCGGTGTTAGCGCACAGGATTGATAACATCTCAGAAAGGGTCACCGGACGGTGTGGAGATGTTTAATCACTGAATTGGCTTCACTGGAGGACTGGAATGATCAATACAGACTTAAGGCAGAGAGGAAAATTTATCTCTGTCTGACCCAAACAAAGTTCTGTTATCGAATCTGACGCCATAAGCAGCCTTGGAGTTGCATGCAAACCCCCCACGATGGAAGGAATGCAAACAAATGCTGTGAATCTCTATCCACCCACCCCCCCGCCTTCGGTTTGTGGTCTCTACCGAGGTCATTAAGCTAAGGACTCACTGCTCTCTGTGCTTCCCCATGACCTCCCTCCCACCTGCGGAGCCAGCTGGTTGAGCGCCACACAGGCAGCCCCCGCTGAGGAAACCAGGATCCCAGCCCCTCCCCCCTACCTACCGGGTCTCATGTTGTGAACTGTGACGTTTGTTGCTTACATGTCGGGTGTTTTTTTTTTTTTTTTGCATTGGAGTGCTACACCCTGCTGGTGTAACCCTGTTAATGCCTTTTTTATCCCTCCCTGAACTTTCCTCATGTATTGCCTTGCTCATCTACAAAGGAGCGCCGTCATGGCTGCTCCCATGGTCTGCCTGTATCTGTCCTGTCTATATATGTGTGTGTGTGTAACCTTGGTCAGGTTGTACTATGGAGTCAAGTTCCTACGCTCTGAAAGGAGCGCTGGCAATAAAATTCATTCTGATTCTGATTCTGATTTTGTTGTTGCTTGGCTTCCTGGGGCTGGAGGCTAGGAGGGAGATCTGGCCGTCTGGTTGGGGTCTGGGGTGGTAGATTGCTGTGCTCAGCGTTGGGCGGGGGAGCCTGCTCATCAGTACCCCAGCAGAAAGGGTCAAACTCTGGTTACTGGTGATGGTTGTACCCAATGTGCAGCAGTACCGGGACCAGAGTGAATAGGGTGTGTATGGGGAGCATGAGTGGGTGTCCGGCGTGCATTTTTGTAAGTCTTTGGTTGTATGTGTATGTGTGAGCATGAGGGAGGGAGTGTGTGACTGTGTTTGTGTATGACTGTATATGTCAGGTGGGGCCTTTGACTCCTCCTCTCTCCTGGAACTTCTCTTGATGATATAGATCTTCGTCCCCCCTCCCCCTGCCACACCTGGTGTGAGGGGTTGTGTCTTGGTCTGCCTGAGTGCTCGTGGCAACCGGGTCTGGGGGTTTAAGATTTTGGCATCTGCCTGATAGATCCCGGTGGCTGCCTGGTGGGGTCTGGGACCCTGGGCTCTGCTGGGTCCCCGGCGGGGGTAGTCGCCCCTGGGTCCCGGGTCGCTGGGTCCCGGGTCGCTGGGTCCCGGGCTCGGCCGGCTAGGGTGTGGGAGGCTGCGGGCGGGCCTGTGGGCTTGCCGCTGATGTCTCCCGGGACTCTGCCGGCTGCTG